AAAAAACATTAAAGTCAACACTCAGAGGTTGTTTCATGTGGTTCACTGCTTGACAATTGTGTCTAGCATGAAACAGCCTGTAGCCTCTGAGTGTTGACTTCAATGTTCACTTTCATATTTATATTTACATACTCCCTGGTATTGACAACTTTATCCCATAAATATAACACACCTTAAAACTATATTTCTTTTTATATATATATATATATATATATGTATATAGATATCTCTCTCTATATATATATATATATATATGTGTGTGTGTGTGTATATATATATATATATATATATATATATATATATATTTATTTTTTAGAAATTTTTATCTTTATAAATTATTTTTCATAGATACAAATATTTAAGTAAATGCTCTGTTAATAATAAACAGTATTAATGACATTTACCTGCCTGAATGTCTGAGAAATTTTCATAAAAAATATGCATCCTTCGACAGGAATCGAACCTGTATCCTACACGTATATATATATATATATATATATATATATATACACACACACACACATATATGTGTGTGTGAAGAAAAAAGATATCTTTTACAAAACAACACAATGCAATTGGATAGACTAAATATCTTAACACATATTAAAAAAAATTAATTTAAAAGTTTAAAATTTCATCATCCCCTCTCCTTCATGCACATGTGTGGTTAAATCAATGTAAACATCATTTTAATTATAAAGGACGGACCAAACATGTTACATGAAATCTTTTTTCCACATTGTCATTAATTTTTAGAACATTGTCTGATATATAAAAATTAAATATCATTTTCTTTGATATATATTTAAACAGGTTTTTGTTAAATTCAATTAACAATGTCTGTTCATTAAATGTTTTTATTGTATTCTTGTATTGTTCAAGGTTGTTGTTTTTGTTTGAGTACTCTCATCTGTCAGGGTAATTATCAAGAACTAAATGTTGTCAGTATTGCAGACAAAGATTTTGCTTCAAATGTAAATATATATATATTGTATATGTGGCATCATGTTCAGAAGGGTTTCACTGAACTTGACAACAATAAAAAAAGGGATAAAAATTATCCAGTTCCCTTGATCTTGCTTTTGTCATGCCACAGGCATCAAGTTATAGTACTGACCCTACCTCTTTTTGTAAAATGAGGGATGCAGATTAGGAAAGGTGGTCTTGTTGCGGACTGGTGATTGTGTTTAAATTGATCAGAAGGAATTTCGAGGCTATGTTCTACAACATTCGTCCACAACAATTATTTAGAACAAATACTTGGAACAAATCATGCAAATAAAGTTGAAAACAAGACAAAGGTTGAATGCATAACAATAACATCAATTTATATACAATTTATACAAATATTCAAAGTTGTTCAAGAGTTGCGTACCTTTATCTGCTTGAGAAAAATAGATTGTTAGTTACTGATTACTTGTTATGTAGTGAGAAATATCACCTTGAAAGTATAGTAAGTGAAGTTTGAGAAATGTTCTTGAGAGAGATAGAGTGTGCGCAAAGGTTGCTGAGTCAGAGAATATTTTTACGTGGCCAAGTCAGAGTTTTGACTGGCATGGAGTTGATGGGCATCTCTCTAGGTGTGGAGGTCTGACTGTCTAAAGTTGGTAATTGTCTTTAATGTCTGGTCAGCAATGACTAAGACGGGAGCCGGTGAAGGTTACATCTTGAAACTTGGTAATTACCACTCGAAAGGTTCACACGTGTTCAGTTTTTATAATCACTGAGTGGCTCCCAGCATATGAGCGGGAAAACAGATTGGTCGCATGCAGGCGGTTTGATTGGTCGGAACTGACCAATCAGCAAGCCAGATTGGAGGTGATTGACCAATGAATACTTGTTATATTGTCTGAAAGTAGAATTTGGCTTACCAGATAGGAAGAGTGCATTTCCTACAAAGAGGTAAGGCTGGTTGTGGTGTGGGAGATTCCACAGTCTCTTGGTAGAAGTATACATTATAATTTTTATTAATCCTTGTCTACAAATGACCAACAATTGGAAAGAAATTAGGTGTCTGTTTCTTTATATTTAAAACTTCAAACTATTTTGTTTTAATAAGAGTTTTGTCCTTGTAAGTGATAAAACATAACTGACACTTCAGTAGTTGTGTGTGTGTGTATGTGTGTGTGAAAAACAATGTGACAGGATATTGGCTGATGTTAGTAGTGAATAAAAAAAATGGATGACAAATTCAATTCCAGAGATTGTTAATTTTATGTTAATGCTGGAAAATATAATATACAACTTAGATTTTTTTTTATCCTTAATACTTTACCATAATTATTTGAGTATAATACACACTTGTAAATAACGCACACTTTTAACTTGGGGCTTCTAATTCTGGAACAAAATATCTTGTGTATAATGCACATTGAGGCATTACAAATTTTAGCTGTTAAATTTAGCCTAAATTTAATGTTTGTTTACCTTTTCTTCAATTTATTTTGTTATTTCATTAAAAATAAGAATTTGTAAAAATTTTATATGATATTTTGAAACAGAAAATTTGAAGAAAAACAGTCATATTCACACACAGGCAACAAGTTTGTGCTGAAAATAAGTTCACACAAAGAGAGACAAAATTATAAACAAATACACATTCCAGTAGGTAGTGGTAATATTTACTGTTTCAGCAAGTTATTAAAATATAAAATGTATCATAGACACACTGGATGACAATGAAGACAACATCCTTTTTGAGGAAGAAAAAGAAGATGACTGTGAACACTGATAACATCAGGATCAAACAAGACAGAGACATCTAACTACTCTGACAACATAAGATTAAACTGTCATGATGGCTTTACGAGCAACAGTAGAGTAAAGTAAAATTTTCTCAATATCTGTATGCATAATTAAAAAAAATATATAGTGTTTGGTTACTTATTTAAACACTTAGTTACACATTGGATTAGTTTGTACTATACACCTTACTTTCAGTCATCCTGTTACTAATAAAGGTGCCATGTTGTTGGGAGAAAAAGAATTAATATTAGTGCTCGTATTATGCACGAATAATTACTTTATACATTTGTGATTAAACATAGCGGATTGTGGGGGTTTTCTGGCACTTTTTTTGTTTTGGTTAATCAAAAAGAAAGACTGTCTGAATAGCCTTCTTTCAAGACATTCAGAAATAGACAACCATGATATTTTTAAGATCTATAGATCATATAAAAGCCGTAATGGTTTTAAAATCTAGATATAAATGCGGGCTTACTAAGCAAATATATTAGATTTAAGGTTTAAATATTAAATATACCATTTACATTACATTTATTTAAAAATGGACACAAATAGAAATAAAGATTTAAAAGGGACATAACTCTAAAATTACGACACTTAATTCTGTCCCTTGGTTAGCGTGATTTTTGCCATTGTTATGAAGATAGACAAGTTTGTAAATATTATTCTCTATTCGATTTTCTCTGAGATAAAAAGGAAAACCTTGAAATACAATCTATTTCGAATTCTTCCTTTAACAGTTTTCTTGTTATCAAAAAACATTACCGCAATGATCAATGACTTTCAGTTTATTTCTCAGTTCATTTTTGACATAGGAGGAGGAGACTAATTTAAGCGGCAAATACACTCTCTACAGCAGTTTCATTTTTCATTAAAACCTAGGTTCTAAGAAAAGGAAGTTTTCTGTAAATTTGGGAGTATATATGCATGAAGGACAATATCTCTGTAAAGACTTTTTTTGTAAAAAGAGAAAAACACGACAAAGATAAAAATGAAACTAATCAAATGCTCTTCAAACTCAAAATGAAGAAGAAATGTTTTTACACTATTTTATTTTGTTTACAATGGTGCATCATAATGTGTTAAAGTCTGAACAACAAAGAAAACAAAACAATTGTAGCCGAAGAAAGTTAGAAAACCCATCACTGATAAAATTAAAGAATCATTGAAACATTTTTGATTTGTATTACAAGGGGAATGTTCACTGGAAAACAAAATGAACTTAACTGAATCAAATGGAATAAAAAAATTCTACCCAGGGATCATCTGTTCTTCTGTAAACAGTTTATAGTATAACGATGAGTTTATATATTTCACATTGCAACTTTTTGTTATTTATATTAAAGTAGGAAAAATTTGGTTAAAACAAACTAGGTATATAACAACACAAATATAGAAGCCATTTTAAATGCCTTGTTTGAAAAATAAAATTTGTATAAATTTTAAATTATTGTATTCTATTTTGTTTCATTAATAATAATTTGTGTATCTTCTTTATGTTTACATTTTTAAACTTTTTCATTAGTTGATTATAATCATTATTCCAAATTATTATTGGTAAGAGTAACTATAATTTTGAAGTCTTAAATCAGGACAGTTTTCTTGTATAATAAAGTGTTTTCATGACCCAACACTCCTTAATCTTCAGGGTGGTGACATGCAGCAGCTTAGTGATGCTTGGGGCCATGAAGTAATAGGGAACTTATAGGGTCTAGTACTGAAAAATGTAAGAAAGGAAGAAATTTTAAATAAAAACAGATGAAACATGAAACAAACACTTTCTTCAAATTAAATATAAACTAAATTTTTATTTCACTCTTTGATTGGATGCCCTCCTGATATAAATGCCCAGGGCCTTTGCACCCTTTCCCCACTCCTGCACACTACTGCTTCAGTGATGTACTACTGTACTGTATTGATGCGGCATTCACCCTGGGCGGATTGAGCCGGCTTCTTCCTGTTATGAGAAGAAGATTCTTGGGATAAATTACAGAAGTAGGGTACCCAGGCCTACTCGGATAACGTTCTTGCTTGCGGGGTTCCCACAGACGCAGAGACAGGAACGACCAGAAGCCGCCGTTACCGATGCAGACTCCTTGGATTTTCACCAGAGCCCTTGTTAGCGGCGTGTGTGTGTGTCAGACCTGTCTGCCTTGGGTGGCCCTACCAGGAACGAAGTTCCGGCGGCATAGCTCTGACACTATCGTTTACCCCCCCACCCCCACCGACTGTGAGGTAAGGGTTGGACTTTGGGGCTTACAGTACCAGGTGTGTTCCCCAAGCGGTCCCCATCTAAGTACTGACCTGGCTCTACGATGCTTAACTTCGGTGATCGAACAAGAACCGGTGTTTCAGCGTGATTTGACCATAAGCTTCAGTGATGGCACAAAAATAATGAACACTGATAGATCACTGAGACAGACCACTAAGGCTGGGACATATTGCAAGCCTAATTATAAGTTTATTCTTGAAAAAGTTAGTTTTAAATACCAAGAAAGAAATAAAATGTAAATTTTCTTTAACCTTAGATTAAATCACCTTGAGCATAAGATTTTTCTTGTTAAGTTGGATAGCTGATTAGTTAAGCACTTGAATCCAAGTGCTTAATTTTAAGAATCAATATAATTTTGATAAAATGTGTAAATAATTTTGAAGTACAGAAGGAAAAAACAGGAAGAAGTCTTAATTGTTCATATTTTCTTTTTTAATCAAATGTAATATTCAGTGTCCGTTCAAAAAGATTTTAAATGGAATGAGCACAAAGAAAATTATCTAAAACAAAACACAACATTTATAGAGAGAAATACAGAAATTAGCTTTGTAAAAATAAAACTTCTTTAGCCTTTCCTCATTAGCAGGAAACTAACATTATTTTTAGACATTAATTTAAATGCAAATTCAGTTTGCTAAAAATTGATCATCAGTTTACTGATACAGAATTTAGACCAACTTGAAAAATATGTTCAAAATTTGAAGACAAGATAGATCTTAAGATAAAGGCAGAAGCAATGGCAGTAGTTGTAGGAACAGATTATTCAAAAATGCTAAGTGAAAAAATCCAAAACTCATATATTTCAGTCAGTTATAGTTTTCTTGAAAATGTAATTATAAAGCAATTAAAAATGAGTAAATTAATAAATGCATTTAGTAGAATAATATCTGTAATTACAAACTAAATATTTACTTTCTATATAAAATCCTATATACTAAATTAAAACATAATAATGATACAGACATAAAGAACTGTTTTTTTATTTAATTGTATCGATTTCACTTCCCCCACTATAAAGCACTGGCCTTGGTAATATGGTATTATTATGATTACATATCAAGCGTCAAAAAGAAAAATGACAAAACATTGTGTTTACTATAAAAGTGGATTTGCTTTGTCTGACCTTTACCTGACGCAAGGGAGATTACTCGGCATTGAAAATTTATCAACTTCGACTTTGAGGATTGACATTTAGCAGTGCTGAAAGGTAACTTTTAACTTTAACCTTCTGCAGATAGCTTCCAGCCTCTTTTGTAGAGCAGGTGATGTTGTTCATTTGGGTAAAGAACTGATAATAAACATGCCAGATAAATGGCTGAATTTGAATTAAGCTTGAGAATGATTATAAAGACTTGGTAAAAGAATTTTATTTGCATCCTGTTGTAATTACTTCACTCATGACCTTAAAAAAATAATGAAGATGACTAGAAGTAATTATTACAATAATTATTATCTTGTTTCTTATAAAAGAAAATATGTTGTTAAACCTTATTTCATATTAAAGAAGATGCAGGTAATATTTTACGGTGTTTTTTTTTTATTGCTTCCTGTTTTCTTTCAAATGATTCCATGATGCTTTAAGGTCTCAACTTTTTGTGATATTTAAAAATAGCCATGGAAAATTTTACAGTTTTATGATTTCATAATTCTTCTTTCTTTTAATCATTTCATCCCAATCAAGGCAGTAAAGTCAATAAGACACAAGGAGTTACTGAGCGTAAAAGAATATGAGTAAAAGATAAGCATTATTAAGGAGAGAGAACAATGAAAGGAGAAGATAACAACTGATATTGCACTTATATTTTTGAGGATCATAGTTGGCTAGAAAGCAAGAACTCAGAAGAGAGTTCCAAAAGTGAAAAATACAATAGAAGAAACTGTTAGCATCAAACTTATGGTTACATCTAACCTTTTTAACTGTGAAATGATGAGACCTAACTGCTAATTTAGTACTGCACTTTATAAATTTGTAAAGTCAAGGTACCAAAGAGCAAGTCTTATCAAAACAGTTACTATGAAAATATTGTTAGTAAATAAATAAATATTTTCTTTTTTGAGAAACCAAGTCTATTACATTTTTTCTGTTGATAAAGTAAAGTTGTCTTTTTATTAAACAGATTTTTTTCAGAATTGTTTACATAATGAAATTTAATTAAGTTTGGTTTGCAGAAAATAATTTGTATAAACTGCTGGATATCAACAAAATGCATGACATTTTCTTGTTGATACATTCCTGTATTACTTACATCTGTAATCCTTACATCTGTATTACTGTATTACTTACATCTTTTATGTTAATGGATATTTTGACATCCTATATCTTTAAAGGTTAACCTTTGCATTCAGCTTTTTATCACTTTTATTATTATAATAGTAACTTTGTGAGGAACCAAAATATATTATATGATCCTGGATGTAAATGTACTTCACATGATTCCTAACTTAGCACACTTTCAATACATATTTGTCTTAGTTACTTTCTCTTTTACTTTAAGCTATATTCTTTAAGTTAAAAATATTTTCATACAAAATGAATGACTAAAGCAAAAGCTTGTTGTTTTGTAAAAGATCTCTCTTAGATTCATATAATCGTTTATTTAAATTCCAAGTTGTTTTTCAATCTGTTTTGTAAAGTTACTATTTCAGGTTTAATATTGTTATGATTACAACTAATATAATGTGATATAATTAAAAACAATGAATATAAATGCATGAAAATGCTGAATAAGATATGCTAAATGAACATTTAAATACACTGGACATCAAAATTTAAATTTAAAGGCCGAGTATATGTCTTGAATTCTCAGATGAACAATGATCAAGTTTGAAGCATGGTTGCTATTTATTGAAACTGCATCATGTGCCATTTTATTGAATTGGATTGAAGTCTGAAGATCCAGAAGGTGGAAGTTTACTTGCCAAGTGTTGCTGTGCTGTGTATTTTAAAACTTTCATCTTATTAATACATACACACACATATATATATATATATATAAAAACATTTTTTTATGTTTATACGTTCTTTTTATAGATACAAATATTTAAGTAAATGCTCTGTTTATAATAAACAGTATTAATGACATTTACCGGCCTGAATGTCCAAGAATTTTTCATAGAAAATATGTGTCCTCCAACATCAAACCTGTATCCTATACAGAACCGTCATAGAGCCTGACATGCTTTACTGGTAAATGTTGTTAATACTGTTTATTATAAACAAAGCATTTACTTAAATATTTGTATCTATAAAAAGAACATATAAAAAAACATGTCTTAAAATAATTGTTGGACTTTGGCCAGTTTACTGTGAAGATCCATTTAGGTGAAACCTAGGTAGGTTGGCCTGGCTCCCTAGGATTTATTCTAGTTTATCACTCTACTTACTGTATTGAGCACTCTACGTTTTAGTCTTTCTACTCGTTTGTTTTTTTTTTTCTTTGGATTAAGGACTTTCAGCACTTGGCGATTTGTTTCATCTTCTTCTGATGTTTTTAGTTCTTTCTTTTTTTATTTCCAATTTTTTCCTCGGGTATTGATTTGTCCTGACATATCTGCAAGTTGAGCTATCCAAAGTTTTCCAAATGAGTACTACTATTAATATATATATATATATATATATATATATATATATATATAGACAAAAGTAAAATTCACTTAGCCAATGCGTTTCATTATCTGATGAAATTTATCAAGACAAATGTAAGGATTTTATTCATATATATATATATATATATATATATATAGAGAGAGAGAGAGAGAGAGCCAAATTTCATTGCAATTCATAGACCCTTCTTTATGGTCAAAAACTAGAACGACTGGCGAACATAGTGGCAAGCAGTCATGAGACAAACAATTAAGCTTTTTCAGTCAATCGGAAGGCACCGCAAGCCAAGAATACAGTTGCCCTCTCAATCCACTTATGTAATATAAATACAACCCCATAGGTCACAAAAATTCTTGTCCCACCAGTGACTTCAACAGTCAGTGGCTTCTTCGCTCGCACAAGAACCCATTTCCTTGGTAGCTGGGCTAACCTGTTGCCCACCATTACTACTTTCAGATTTCCTGTCCTACCACTCACACAAAGCCAAACTTGAGCATCAGTTATTATCCCCACCACTTTGACTTTCATCCGAACAAACTTCAACCTTAAACCACAAAACTCTTTATCAAATGGACTATTTTTTATTGACTATTAGACTCCTATTTTGTATTGGTTCCTTGTGTGTATATATATCTTGTTTTATTTTTCCAGACTATATATTCAACCTTACTCTGGTGTTCATCCATTTTTTTTGCTACCATACACTTAATATAACATATATAATATATGAAAGATTTATTTATTTATATATATTCTTAGAACTGAACAGCCAGACTACCCACACAGATTATTTGATTATAGTGTTGAAAGTTTGTGCAGGGCCAACCACACTTTTTGGAAGAGTCGAGAGAACTGGTGCACAGTATGCTACAAGATCCCCAAATGACATTAGTCAAGTTTTGAATTCCCCTAGACCGGTTGCCACACAAGAATATAGGAACTAGTCTGTCCTGATATTCAACCTATAGCTGGGAGGAGAAGAGATGGATTCATACCTTTCCCAAGGGCATTTGCATATAAGTGAATGTAATAATGAACTTGAGTTGAATTCAAACTCGGCTCTCTGATTCCTCAATCCAAGCTACTATGCATCATTACTCCAACATAACTCCATATATATATATATATATATATATATATATATATATATATATATATATATATATATATCTATTAATAAATTTAATTGATTTATCTTGTGTGGATTTATATCTGCAAAAGTCAGAGATAAATCTTTAAACTTTATATATATATATATATATATATATATATATATACATACATATAATGTGAGTGTGTATGCATAAATATACATATATTTGCACAAATGAATTGGCCAATATTCAACACTGACTTCTTCATTGTCTATCTATTCATAAAGTAATGATGTCAGTTATAAATTAAAAGCAACATACAAATTGATCTTGAATGATTGTTACCATCTGCCATCCCAACTGTAATGCTCTTTGACCCTTGCACTTCCAACCAATATTT